ATTATTTTGTTAGTTTAATGAAATCCCCATAAGTGCTTAATTGTTAAAAAAAATATCCTCTACATAGTGCTTGCACTTTTATTATTTATTTAGCCTAAATAAAAATAGCAATTAAAATTTATTTTAAATAATGAACAATACTAAAGTCTTGGTGATAATTTTTATTAATAATTAACAACAATTTTCAATTAAGAAATTATAGGAATTAACTAAAAAAATCATCTAAGTTATTGTCTTGCTTTGAACATAAAACATACTCATAAGCATAAACAATTATTTAAAAGATTTGATTATTGAGTTTGGAGAAAGGGAGTGTGTTGGTTAAATTAAAAAAATCTTTGTAAACTTGACTATGGAAATAGTGAGCTTATAAATATCCTTACCTTAATTCAATTTAGGTTTATCAGACAAAAAGTATTAAAAAAATATTCAAAATCATTATTAATACTTAAAAGATGAAAAATATGAAAAAAAAAACAAGAAAATTAGTAGAAAGGACAAAAAGAAAAAAGAAGGTAAGTACTTCGAAAAATTGTATTTGATGATTGTAAACTAGCTTTTGGTAACACCTTTGATCCCCAGAAGAATTCTGCATTCATGGTTGACTTGAGGTTCTAAAAATTCACTCTAATTTTCATTGGAGGTGTAGTGACTCTTTCTTTGTGTTGTTGAGGTTCAACATGATTGGCTATCACCCCTTTAACATCCTTATAGAATTTAGTCATTGATTGCCCGTAGCTTGTTGCACACTCACGAACTAAACCATCCAACATTGATTTAAACTTTCTCTTCGCCTCAAATAATGAAGGCAGAATTATTTGTTTGTAAGGTATAGGAGGTGGAGAGTTTGTTATACGAGTTATGCTCTCTTCTCCAATAGCAGCTGATAGGGGATGGAATCTACTGCCTCATAACTAAGGAGAATAAATATACACCACATATATTTTAGAATTTGATTTCTTTTTTACTTTAGTTGTAGCTATAATCTTATTATCATTTTCTAATAGTTTGACCATCTCAGCCCTCCGCCTTGTATGATGATTCATGTTGTGACACTGAGACTTAATCATCTCACTGATTCCGGAAGATGACCCTATCTCAAAGTTTCTGAACACATATCCTTCAGAAATGGCTACATAGATTTTCTTATCACTGATAGTTGATTGTGGGAAAGTCAAGAGAGAAAAGACTAAAGGTTTAGCAGTTTCAGGTGTAGCTACAGACCCACCCTCATCACAGATTTGAATATGAACTGATATTGTAGAAACCTCTATAGATCTAACAAATTTAATGTGGTATAGTGGAAGTAAGATACAAGTTTTCAAATCCTAACCCAAATTGAATCTGAGAGCCCTTCATAGACTAAGCATGGGTGATGTTGAAGTTGAAGATTAACTTTCCATACATTTTCTAAAATTTAACCTAAAATATGTATCAATTACTAAACTTACTGAACTCAAACTAGATGCTAAATAAGAATATCACATTGAACACAATTTATTTGATCTCTAAGGAAAATTCTAGATAATTAATTATGGAAGTGAGATGATTTTGATGAAGGACCCAAAATAAAGAAGAACCTGATTGTCAAGTGTGGATTCAGAATGAGGATTGATTGATAATCAAAATTTGAACTTGATGACTGAAGGAATAATTAAAATATGATTATGAATATAATTATTGAAATCAATGTTTGATTGAAATAATTGAAAATAGGAAACTCACTCGCACAAATTATCATATTATGAATTTAGAGTCTAATCTCTACTACACATAAAAAGTAAACCCAATCTCCAATGGAGTCGCTAGAAAACTTTGCAGACAAAATTAAATGATAATGACCACTAATTTGGGATTTATTGTTTCTATAATTAAATTCACATATCTAGTTTTAGTTATTTTCATACCTAAATTCTGCATGAAGGATATATAGTTCATCATGAAGGATAATATTCACATATATTTATCAATACAAATATGAAATTAACCCACAATTAGCTTTAGTCTACATTGAGAAGATTCTTCCCCTAAATTAGTAAACTAAGATTGGGTTAATTATTTACTGGGATCTTGTGTTGTCTATAAAGACAACCCCATACAGCCAATTATATCTCCAAAAATAAAACATTTTTTTTAAAAAAAAATTGAGATTAAACTCATTATTGATTTAAAATATAAATGAGTTTCCTTATATAGTTTGAAAATATCAGTCACTCCCACAAACATATCATTAAATTTTACAAAAAAATACATTTAATGTATGATATTCTTTTAATAGTAGAGTTCAAGGTGTATAATTACCAGCCGCAAGTCACCCGTTAGAGAGAGAAACACCCGTTAGAGAGAGAAATAGCCGTAAGTTTTTTGAATTTTCAATTCGTGGTTATTTAGCTTACATCATCGCCGGCCGGTGACGATGACGTAAGACGGCCGGCGATCTTCGGTTGGCGCGTCTACCTTTACTGATCATTTCAAAGGATCCATCAAGGTCACAGATGATTCGAAGATTCGTTCTGGTGATGATAAGGTTTGCTCTAGATCATTGGCAGGACCATTAATCATCAGAGAGGTTAGAAATTCTCCACTGAAGAAGACATCTGAAGTTGTATTTGGTAAAGGAAAAAGTTGCATTCATCATCCCGTTGATAATACTGCTAAGAAGCATTCTGCTGCTTTTATTCATAGTAATAACGATGGGGAAGCTTCTTCTTCTAATGTGAAGATTTTTGTTAATAAATTTAGTTGTTCAAATGCAATCTCTGACCTTAGGCTAGAGATAAATGCGAATAATCAAAATTTTATTAACAACCATTTTATATCAGCTGATAAGCTTCCTCATGAATGTTACTTTGAGCTTCCAAAAATGAGTTTTGTGCAAGCAGTCCTTGGTAAGAAGATTACTGATGAAGATTTATCAAATTCTAATACTGGAGATAAAGAGAAGATTCCTAATTCTTGGAGAAAGACTCAACACATTAAAATCAGCTATGATCCGAAATCTACACCCATTACTGACGATGGAGTTGCTGTTATTATGAACTCTCACATTGAAGATGCTAATTCTCATGTACTAAGAAATTCTCTGGTTATCAAAGTTCTTGGTAGCAATATTCCTTTTCCAATCTGCAGTAGGGAGCTCCGCAACCAATGGTCCAAATTTGGAAAATTTCATTTAACAACCTTGAGCCTTGATTGGATCCTGTGTTCCTTTTTCAATTCTGATGCTATGGATGAAGTTCTAGAAGGAGGCCCCTGGTTTATTGGAGGTAACATAATTGGTTTGGACAAATGGTCCCCCAATTTTTCCCCGGAATCCCTTAAGGGTCTTACAACACCTATTTGGATTCGCTTACCTTGCTTACCTCTTCATTGTTGGGATGATCAGAACATCTGTAGAATTGCATCTATGATAGGAGAACCCTTATATTTAGATGGAAATTCTTTTAAATGGACTAAGAGGGAGTATGCTCGTGTATGTGTTCGCTTAGAACTTGATAAAAAATTACAAAAAGGTATTTGGATTGAAGGAAAGCATGGTAGATCATTCCAAAGAGTTGAATATGAGAAGATTTCTTCAATTTGTTTTCACTGTGGCAAGATTGGTCATTTGAAGAACAAATGTCCTTCTTTAACCTCTTCCGAACAAACTGTTACTGATGTTAGAATAATTCCAAATCAAGATGAAGCATGTTTCAAAGACAAGGATGAATTAGGTCCTTGGATTAAGGTGAAGTTCAAGAAAAATAAAGTTTTTAGGAAATTTGTTCCTAAACAGATTAATTCCTCTCCTAATATTGATCCGACTTTGGATCATACAGTAATGGAAGAAGGTGAAATTGTTGATACTCAAAACAATGTTGAAATTCAGAAGTCTGTTACTGATGTTATAATCAAATCCAAAATTCTGGATTCTCAACTGGAAGATTTGGAGCTTAATAAATCTAATTCTATGCCAGACATTTCAGAAGGGGAGGGTTGCTTGCGAACTCAAGTATATCCTAAAGGATTACTTGCGAACTCAAGTATTCCCTATCATAATTCTGCTGTTATAGTTCAAGGTGTTATAAATGACAATACAAGGGAGAAGGATTTATCGCCTGACAGAGTTCCAATTGAACTAAAAATGAAAGATGATCTGATTAATAAATGTGATTTAATCACAGATTTACCTCATAAGGCATATGAAGAGGAAAAGATGCCATCTTTTATAGATAACACCTTGATTATTTGTGAAGAAGAACGAAAGAAACTAATGCCCAGTTCTGATTTCTCAGAAGAAACCGGTATTCTTGACTCAGTTTCATTACAGGATAATTCCATTACTCCTATAGTTATTGAAGAGGCCATTTAAGGTATTAGCTCTACTAATGATGTTAAATCCCAAGCTAATATCAAATTCAAACTACAAAAGGAGTTAAAATCATTGGGTAACGTTAGTATACAGTCAAAGCTTATGAAAAATGAAAAAATCAAAAGGAAAAGTGGTGGGTCTTTTCCCACTCCTAATCCTAAATGAGTTCATTTATTTTTTGGAATTGTAGGGGGGCAAGAAAGGTTGAAGCCTCCAGATATTTGAAAGATTTGATTAAGGATAATGATGCTATCTTTGTTGGTCTCATTGAGACCAAAGTTTCTTCTATAGATTCTTTTGAGTTTAAAAGAGTTATTGGTGATAATTGGGATTATCATTTAAGCCCGACAAGGGGCCTATCAGGTGGAATTATAATATGTTGGAGATCGTACTTGGCTCAATTTACTGTTATAGAAGATTTTAATCAGCTTGTGTTGGGGAAGCTTATCATTACAAACAAAATTTCCTGGATTATAGCTACTATTTATGGTAGTACTGATTGGTGTGAAAGAAGGTCCCTTTGGAACAAATTGGAAACGTTTAAATCCTCTAAACTTCCAATGGTTATGGGAGGTGATTTCAATTGCATATTATCCAAGATGATAAAAAAGGTGGGAAAAAGTTCTCTTTGTCTCAAGGAGTGCAAGATATGCTATCATTTATGAGAGAGTGTGATTTTCATGATACAAAATTCATTGGTCCCAACTACACTTGGTGTAATAATAAAACAGGGAAAGCACGCATTTTAGAAAGATTGGATCGATGCTTACTTAATTGCATAACATTAAATCACCTTAAAGTTCCTGTTGTTAATCATCTTGCTCGTATTGCTTCCGACCACTGTCCCATTATGTTGAGAATTTCGTCTCCATCTGTTTATCATAACTATATTTTGAGATTTGAAGATACTTGGCTTTCCTACCCAGCTTCTCATTCGGTAGTTTGGTTTGCTTGGAACAAACCGGCTAAAGGCAATGCATATTCTATTTTGAATCTTAAATTCAGAAGATCCTTAAAAGCACTATTTTTCTGGAGTAAGGCTAAGCACAAAGACTTATCAGATTTGAAGAATAAATTGAAAAAAGAAATTTTAGAGCTTCAAGATGAAGAATCAAAGTCTAGTGTCTTTTCTGTTCAGAATACTGATTTGCTGAGAACTAAGGTCCGAGAATTGAATGCAACTCTTGGTCGGCTGTGTACATGGTGGAAACAGAGATCTAAATCAAAGTGGATTAAAGAAGGAGATAGCAATTCAAAATACTTCCATGCTTCAGCTTCAGCTAGGAGAAATTTTAAGTGGATCAATCAGTTGAAGAATAATGATGGTTCTATAATCTATTATCAGGAGGAGATCACTGAAGCATTTTCAAATTTTTCAAAAACAAATGGCGTAGCAGACCATGCTCTATGGACAATTGGCCTCTGTGTTCTAATGTCATTGATGAAGCTGATTCTAAGTGGCTGGACCGAGATTTTACAAAAGAAGAATTGGAAATTGTGATTAAAAATCTTGGTTCTTACAAAGCTCCGGGGAGAGATGGCATTTCTTACTCATTCATCAAAGCATATTGGCATATTATCCACAATGATATGTGGAATGCTATCAATCAATTCTTCAAGACAGGATTTATGAATATGGATTGGAAAATTACTAATGTGGTTCTTATTACTAAATAGAATGAGTCATCTATTTCCCAAGATGATTTCAGAAGTCCAATATGATTTTGTCAAAGTTAGACTTATGTCGGAACAAATCCTTCTTGCTCAAGAACTTTTTCATAAATTTAGATTCTCCCTTGATGTAAGCATATGATAAAGTTCCAAGAGAAGTGCTATGGAGAGTTCTTGATAAGAAAGGAGTCAATAATGCTTATATTCAAATCATTAAAGATATGTATGCAGGAGCTATTACTTGTGTTCAAACACAAGGTGGTTTGACCAAGTATTTCCCTATTTCGGTTGGGTTACATCAAGGATCAGCCTTAAGCCCATATCTATTTGCTTTAGTCATGGATGTTCTCACTAGACATTTGCAAGATGATGTACCTTGGTGTATGCTTTTTGCTGATGATATTCTTCTTGTTGATAAGACTAGAGAGGGAGTTGAAGGTAAACTTGAATTATGGAGGTCAACCTTAGAGTCTAAAGGTTTTCGCTTGAGTAGATCTAAAACGGAATATATGGAGTGTAATTTTAGCAGTAATAGTCCTAGTGAGGGGATTGTGACTTTGGGCGATCAAGTCATTAATAAGAGTACACGCTTTAGATATCTTGGATCTATTGTTCAGAGTGATGGTGAAATAGATGAGGATAATATCAGCAGAATTCAAGTTGGATGGTTAAAGTGGAGGAATGCATCGGGCTTGTTATGTGATAGAAATTTACCCCTCAAACTTAAGGGAAAATTCTATAAGATAGTAGTGAGG